CTCAGCAAAAGTTAGAATTTATAATCATTAGCATCAGTATCTCTGACATTCAGCTCTGAGATGAAAGTTACATTACAAAAATGCCTTAAGATTTTTTATCAACTAGAATAAACACCAGAAACAGTTTAACTTGGGTTCATGACAAAGACTTTTCATAAGGTAACAAATATGTCATCTCTAAATATTTTCAAAATATAATTAAATAAACATTTGTTTTAAAACAAAGTTATATTTTGTTTTTGGTGAGATGAACAGTTTCTTTATTTTGGAGTTGGAAATTTCTTTAAAAAATTAACTTTATTGAGGTATAATTGCTTAGAATAACATGCACCTGTTTAAAGCATACAATTTGATGAGGTTTGACAATATTTACACCTGTGTAATCTCTACCACGATCAAGATATTAAACATTTCCATCATCTCAAATCTTATCCCCCTTACCAGTCAATCCTTACCCTACCTCCAGCCTAGGCAACTACTGATCTACTCTAGACAGTGGTTCTCAAAGTGTGCCCTAGGGGATCGAGAAGTCAAAACTATTTTCCCAATAAAATTAATTTTTTTCACACCTTTCATTCTTATTCTTTCGTTGAGTGTACAGTGCAGTTTTCCAGAGGTTGGCTACATGATGTCAGATATTATAACAGACTGAATTCCGAAGCAGATATGAGAATTCAGCTATCTTTTATTAAGCCAGACATTAAAGAGATTTGCAAAAATATAAATGTCACTCTTCTTACTGAAATAGTTTTATTTTTAAAAAATTAAAGCATGTTATTTATATTAACATGTAATGGGTTACTGTTATTTTATTTTACTTTATTTTTTTAATATTTACTTATTTAATTAATTTATTTATTTGGCTGCTTCGGGTCTTAGTTGCAGCACGCAGGATCTTTGTTGAAGCATGTGGCATCTTTTGTTGCGACGTGCGGACTCTTCATTGCAGCATGCAGGCTTCTCTCTAGTTGTGGCATGCGGGTTTTCTCTTCTCTAGTGGAGGTGTGCGAGCTCAGTGGTTGTGGTGCGTGGGCTTAGATGCCCCGCCGTATGTGGGATATTAGTTCCCCGACCAGGGATAGAACCCGTGTCCCCTGCATTGGAAGGCGGATTCTTTATCACTGGATCACAAGCACAGTCCTGGGTTATTGTTATTTTAAACTGAATTAATACGTACTAATTTTTTTTTCTCAGTTTTATTTTCTAATATAGTTAATATCAACAGATACAGCCCACAAGATAAAAGCTCTTTGGAGTCCTTAATATTTTAGTAAAAAAAAGTCTTTGGCTGAGATGTTGGACTAGATGATGGTTCCTAATTTTAAAATGCTATGATTCCATAGTATGTGAAAGCTATGTGTAGAATTTTCAATCAAGTATTCACTTGTAACAATGAAATAGTGGTCTAAATGTGCTGCTATATCTCAGCATAACCTAAAGCAAATACAACCATTTTAACCATTTAAAACAGAGGAAAACTAGATTATAACTTTCTCTTGAAAGGGACCATGCCATCTAATTTTTTGTACTTTGACAGCATCTAGCTCAATGCATGGCTATAAGAATCCCTTCCATTAGAATTAATAAAAAAAATCATTACCTTTTACCAAATACAGAGGCTTTTCTTTCAGATGTGGGTTTGTTAATACTCAATTTTCCAAAGGTTGATTTCTCTTTGCTTTAAGAAAAGGAGAAAAACAAACTCTTTAAATAAGTGGAAAAATATTAGTTCAAGAAACTTTTGTAAATACATTGGAACCAACCCCTCTTCCTCATTACTTATAAGAATAATTCAAAATCATGAAAATTTTTAGCAGCAATCATAGCTATCAAAAATAGGATAGGCTTACAACATAGTAAGAGTTTTAACACTAAAATGTTAAGAAAAAAGGAGGAAAAAACCCCATATCTACATTGTAATGTTAATTATCCTAAAATATGTACATTTATGGATAACAACTTCAAAGGAAAAGAAATAACTTAAAAATAGATATTTTCAATCATAGAATGATAGCCACATTTAAAATTTTTTCTTTTGAGGCTCACTCTTTATTAGACCGCAGCTACACTTAAGAACATACATTACGTCAATTACAGACCAGAAACGTTGACAAAGGCAACCTTTTAGCTTTGAATGCAATTCAAGGCACAAATCTTTTGGAGTAGTAATGTGCAACAGTACAAAACATTTCTCTGATTTCAGAAGAAAAAAATGTATAAATATTTCAAATTTCTAAAAGTAGCAGAGGCTCATACTATGTAAACCCAAGTAACTTAAGAACAGTTAGCAAGTAACTTGTACCTTGGTAATAGAGAAGGAATGATAGCACTCAACATGGTTACAAATATCCTTCTCTTAATTGTAAGAAATTCATTCATAGGGAAAAATTAGTTTATGATTTTAAGTTCTTTTTTTCCCCCTCATTTTATTTTTTATTAAAAAAATTAAAAAAATTGAAGTCCAATTGATTTACAATGTTTCAGGTCTATAGCAAAGTGATTGAGATACACATACACACACACACACACACACACACACATACTTTTTCAGATTCTTTCCAATTACAGATCATTACAGGATATTGACTACAGTGACAGCAAGTTCTTTGGGGCACCTTTTCTTTTTCCAGTGAATCCTGAGGAAATAGTTTGGAGAAGTGGTGTTCTGTAGGCTGCTACTAAACTGCAGCTAATTGTCAGGGCAAATAATACCTTTCATTGAGAACTGTGCTAGTTGGATACACCTCAGTAAATAGAAGTTACAGCAGAGAACCTGCTCAAACAAGCAGCTCTACAGTAAAGGAGGAAAATAAATGAGTGGAAGAGTGCTGAAAAGGAATTAGTAGTCCCTCAGGGATTGCCTAGCAAAAGACGTGGCTTTGGAGATTTCACTATCAAATGAGATAAAACACAACACCTAGTAACATGCCCATTTTTTAGCCTTCACTGACTCCAAATTAGGTACCACTGAGAACAGATAAGATTCATCACAATATGACTCATACTACATCTTTGTATTAACCTCCTTTACAGATTTCTTTGCCAAAGACAATAAGGCATAGGTACTCACGTTTGAGGGGTATGGAGGCCTGGTTTATTTAAGTCCTGGGATCTTAATTCCTGCATAGAGAGGCGGCCAGCACCACCGGTAGAAAATGAACTTCGTTTCATGTTTATGACCTGCATTCACGAATTTGGTAATGAACAAGTCTTTCCAGACACAGATGGTACCTTAAGCAACAACTATTATCTTTACCCTCAAACAGAAAGGCAGCCAAGTTTCACTGTTTTTTCAAGATAATCTTTCCCTGGCTATCTTTGCTTGTTCATGTAAGGTGAAGTCCTAATTTGCAGGGAACATCTATCTATTTAACTCCATTTAAAAATATTCAACACAGGGCTTCCCTGGTGGCACAGTGGTTGGGAGTCCGCCTGCCGATGCAGGGGACACGGGTTCGTGCCCCGGTCCGGGAGGATCCCGCGTGCCGTGGAGCGGTTGGGCCTGTGAGTCATGGCCGCTGGGCCTGCGCGTCCGGAGCCTGTGCTCCGCGTCGGGAGAGGCCACGGCAGTGAGAGGCCCGTGTACCGCAAAAAAAATAAATAAATAAAATAAAATTCAACACACAAAAACACTTACTAACTGCCTACCATGTACAAGGGAGTGTGAAAGTAATGCAAACAATACAAAGGTGAATAAGGTATGATTCCTACCTTCACAGGGTATTCATGGTAGTTAAACTCCTAAATCCTAACTCAGACCACATCACCACTGTTGGCTGTGCCTATTTCAATGGGAAGTCAGAGGCTACTGACAAGAACTACCTCTGATGTTTCATTTTCTTTGGTCTTGGAGCAGAGCTATTCAGTTTTCTTTTCCTAATGTCCATCTGCCCTGCTCTGTCCTTAACCTACTGTTTCCCATTTACATTATTCAATTACTGCCCCTCGTGCTTCAATCTCCCTCTCATCAAGGATAAATTATCTGGTCTACAGACTGCTTCCATTTTCTCAGACCACATTCACATCTCATTCCCTTCCCATCTACTGAAACGGTTGCCTCCTGAGATACTCATGACTGACAAATCTTTTGATCCTATCTTAACCCTGAGGCATTAGACACTATACACCTAGCCCTTCCAGGTCCTGCCCTGGTTTCCAAGAAAGTGGACATCCGTGGTTATCCTTTTACTTCTTGGGGCTCTCCTTTGTCTTTTAAACTGATTACACTCTTTACTTCTTTGTTTGGCTATTTCTTCTTCAGTATACGCTTCTGATCTATTAAACTTTTCCACTCTCACCTATCTGTCCACTCCCAATCTCCACTTAAAATGTACTCTTAAAATCTGAGGTTAAGACTTTCAGATGTACTCCTTACACGGCCACCAGGATGTTACACTAGTATCTCAAACGCACCATAGCAAACAGTTCTTCATCTCGTCCTTCCTCTCCCTGCTCCCATCCATTCTTCCCCTTTTCCTCTCTCCATGTCCTCTTCACCCCACCGGTGTCACCTTGGCCCTCCCCTTCTCCCTTGGAAAATCACTGCCATAAGAAATTTATTGGACTCCGGGAAACTAGCGCCTAGAACAGATGGGGCCCGGGGGCCGGTTACAACAGCAAACACCAAAACGTGAATGTAACTTTTTGGCGCCCTGGCGTTCTCCCTCTAGCCCAGTGCTGCCGGAACAAAATTAAAGCAAAGTCATTAGTCACCTTTCTTCCAGCTTCCCGATACGACGCAGGGACCGAACTGCTGTAAACCGTGCTATTGCCCGCTAGACAAAACGTCAGCCGCCAAAACACAACCTCCTTCCTCCACCCGCCGGCGCCGTTCGAATTTTAAAATCTCCGGCGTCGCTGACGTCATCGCGCACGACATGCGCGCGCGTGCGCAACTCTCTCGCGCCGCTCGTCGCCGGAACTCTGCGTGTTGGTGAAATGCCGCCGCCTCACGGGCGCGCTCGGGCGTGTTCCGGCAAGCTGTAAGCATCCTCTGAGAAGTCTGGTCCGACCCTTAAATTTAGCTGTGAACACCCGAGCGCTTTACGTCCCTGAGTAGCGAGCAGAGCGCTCCAGGCAGCCCTTGAAACGTTTTTTCCGTACAGCAACATGGCGGCTCCCGTTGACTGTTAGAAAAGGAGATTTGTTTTTTCCTTTGCCTTGAAAGGAGTGTCTTTCAGGACCACTGTTTAGATGGGTGCTGTTTCATGAAGCAAGTCTGGGAAGGCGGGGTGCACTTTTCTGACAAGGGAGGCGGCGAGGTAGGAGATAGTGACGGCCCAGTGTGGGCGCAGTCGGCCCCAGGGTCGCGCTGCTGAGGCCGCCGCCAAGGTTCGGGCTCAGGGCATGAGTGCTCTCTGGGGTTCCAGGTGCTCTAGCGGTGGCCTGCGGAAAGCTGGAGGATCCAGTGTGGGGCCGAGAATTAGGAGAGAAAAGTGACCTGAGCACAGTAGGTTACTTTGCTAAAATATGACATCCCCCCTTACCTGCGTTTGAACTCAGAGGCAAACACAGCCCCAAACTTGGAGAGTGGTGGGTGGTGGGAGGGGAACTCAGAGCCGAAGTCTGGATACCTGGGTCTTGTAGCAATTGTGCCATCAACCAGTTGTAATTTTGGGCACGTCACCTTTCCTGTCTGAGTTTAGAACTTAATTAGGAAAGTTGGGTTTATACTTCTAGTGTCTAATTCTCAGAGGTGTGTGTTTGTTTTAAAGGAAGAATGTCTGTGGTGCGTGAGCTATCGCCAGGATGGTTACTGGATCATCTTTCTTTCATTAACAAGATAAGTTATGAACTTCACCAGCATCATGAGCCTTGTTGCAGTAAAAATGAGCTTACTTCTTCTGTTCACGTTGATACTCTTCACGTGGATTCTATGTCCTCTTTTGGAGCCTCTGCTACCTGTACTGCTTCTACCACTAAGCCAGAAAATGATGATGGAGGAAATTGTGAAATGTTCATACAAAAATATGTTTTTCGATCTGAACTGTTTGATGTCACCAAACCTTATATAACTTCTGCTATTCACAAAGAATGCCAACAAAGTAATGCAAAGGAAGATCTAGTAAATGATGTTAAGAAAGAAATCTCCATTTTTGTTAATGGGAAGGTAATAAGTTTTAAGAAGTTTAAATTTTTCTATAGAGAACACAAATTTATTATTCCAGCATCTCAAATATCTTGTGATTTACTAAGTATAAAGAATAGTCAATAAAGCATAATAAGACTTTAGCATATCCAGAGTGATTTTTAACTTTTTGCTAACATTCTACCATTCTTAGAAGACCAAATTTGCATATTTCAGAAGTAAGCAAAGTTGATTCAAAAGTGAATGCTCTGTAAATTAAACAAACAAAACTAAGTAACAAAAAAAGAAACCCTGTCTGCCTAGGTTTTCGTATTAAGTGCATGTTTTTACACCTATTTTTGCTCAAAAATATGTTTCTCTGTAAAATTCTAAAGCAGTATATAGCAGTATAAAGGGGGAATTTTAGAGATTTATCCTTTGGGGATAAGCTTGTATAATAAATGTTTGGAAGAAGGGTGATATTTTTGAAAAGTTTCTAGTGATAAAACTAGACAGCTACTATGGAAAATATATATTCTTAAAATATATATATTTGTATACACATTGGTGCAATCAAAAGTTTTGAGAGTGCCATATAGAGTCAAATTAATTATGCATGAATACTTTTTATGTATTTGAAGAGCTCAGAGGTGATTATACAAAGTCCATTTCAGATAGATCATATTAACATTTTCTTTGTTAGAGATAGGAATTACATTCATTATTCACCCAATAAATGTTTGAGATCTTTCTATGTGCTGTTGTACAAGGAGTGATGAAACAAGATAAATATAATCTCTGCCTTTTTAGATCTTACAATTGAGTGGGGAAGAAAGATACTAAATAAGAAAGCATGTTGAGAATTAGAATAAGAAAAGTGATAGAGAGTCCATGTATTTATTCAGACAAAGAACTTTTGTTGTTAGCCTGCTAGGAGTTATGCCACCATGTAGGCACTGAGATTTCAGCAATGAAAAGTACAAAGTCCCTGCTCTATATTGCAGACTTACATGTTCTTTGCTATGGAGTTGTTAGATGTAGAACAGTGTTAATATATCTTATTTATACCTAATCCTCAGATTACACATAAAGATCTATTAAAAGTACATTGCGAATTGTTTTTGTTGTAGAAATTAAGGAAGTTCAGAATAATTATACCATATATCAACTGATAGATGACACTGGTGACTCATACAGTGTCACAGTTTCCTTGTGTTCTATGGATGTCAGTGCCATTTTATTATGTCATACTAGTTCTTACTAATAGTAGATAACGCCTACATGGCCTTTTATCACCCATTAAGTTTGTAATAATAGTAATAATAATAATTATTATTATTTGGGAAATCTTACCTCCCCAGTCCATACTCTTTGCACTTATTTTGACCTCAGTAGTTATTACCTCTTAAAGAATGAGATACACAATATGGAAAATGTGATAAAGAAAAAGGAAGTACTAATATATTTCAAAATACCATTATTTTGATGATGGCCACATAATTTTTTTCCCTGTAATTTACTCTTTAGAAACGTAAGAGATGTGTTGTTTTCAATCAAGGTGAATTGGATGCTATGGAATACCATACAAAGGTACGGTGTAAAATATTCATTGATGACTTTGGAAGGTTAATGTGAACTAGTATAAATAAAAGGACAACGTAAATAAGGATGTTCTTAAAAATCAATCAGTCATTTTTAAAAAAATTATTATTTATTTATTTATATTTACTTTTGGCTGTGTCGGGTTTTAATTGCTGCTGCTGGACTTTCTCTAGTTGTGGCGAGCCGGGGCTACTCTTCACTATGGTGCACAGGCTTCTCATTGCAGTGGCTTTTCTTGTTGCGGAGCATGGGCTCTAGGTGTGCGGGCTTCAGTAGTTGTGGCTCGCGGGCTCAGTAGTTGTGGCTCGTGGGCTCAGTAGTTGTGGCTCACGGGCTCTAGAGCGCAGGCTCAGTAGTTGTGGTGCACAGGCTTATTTGCTCTGCGGCATGTGGGATCTTCCTGGTCCAGGGCTTGAACTCGTGTCCTCTGCATTGGCAGGCAAATTCTTAACCACTGCGCCACCAGGGAAGTCCCTCCAGCAGTCATTTTGATCAAGGTTAGAATTTAACACTGGAGTGATTTATCATTACTTTTATTGTAATGAACAATTTAAACCAATTTTTATTAAAATCTCATATACTTCTCATTTACATATTTAATATAAGTAAACTTATGCTATATTGGTTAAGTCCAGAAATTTTCTGAGTTATAAAAGCCTACTGTCAGTAGGTAAAACAACTTAAGATAGTGGCAGAAGAAAGTGAATAATATGAAGGATGTATTTCTAGAACTTAGAGGTTACTGAGATCTGGGAGTTAAAGAAATGAGAGGAAACAGAGGGTTCAAATTGTTTTAGATCTCATTGTCTTTCCTACTTTTATTTACTTAATCTTTAATTGCTGACATTTAGGTATAGTATGCACATGTCATTTTCTATATTTATGTGTGGTATCTGCAGGATAAATTTCGATAACTCAAATTTCTGGGTCAGAGGGTTTGAACATTTTGATAGATACTGCCAAATTGCTGCTATGGAGATTGTATCATCTTATTAGCACACTAGAACTGTATAATTTTGCCTGTTTTCCCACATCCTCACCATTATAGTATATTATAGTTTTTGATGTTTGCCAATCTAATTGTTGAAAATAGTATTTTAGTATGGCTTTAATTTGCATTTCTTATTATGAATGTAGTTAAGCATTGTAATGTATGTTTAAAATTCATTTGTATTTCTCTTATGTGAACTGTTTGTTTCCTTTGCATACTTAAAAAAATTGGATTGTTCTTTTTCTTACTGATTTATAGGAGCTCTTTATATGCTGGGGAAATTAGGTCTTTGTCTATTATGTAAATTACAAGCATATTTTTCCCAGTTTGTCATTTTAATTTTAATTATGATTTTTTTTGGTTTTGGTTTCGCCATGCAGACAATATTATATTTTCATTTAGTTGAATTTATCATTTTTTTCTTTTATGACTTCTGAATTTTGGAATCATAATTAGAGAAGTATTCCTTCTTCAAGGTTTTAAAATAATTTCCCATGTTTTATTCTAGAACATTTATGATTTTATTTCAAATTTATATCCTGATCCATTTAAGACTTTATCCTGGTATACAGTGTGAGGTATGGATCCAGTTGACTACTTATATCTCCTACCATTATTCATGCAGTTTTTCCCTCCTTATATGAGATGCTTGATATACTAAATTCACATAAGTATTTGAGTTTATTTCTGGACTTTAAGTCTTACTTGTTTGTCTCACTATTTATTTGCCAATCTCTTTTGAGATTTTATAATGTGAATATGTTTTAATATCTTATGTGGTAGTTACTTATTCCCCACCCTCCACCCCCCCCACCCCCCACCCTGGGCCATCTTATCATTGCTACTTTTTACAGAATTTTCCTGGGCTTTTTGTTTATTTTCCCACATGAATTTTAGGATCAATTTTAGTGTCTGGTTAGAAAAACTAACCTGTTGAAATTTTTATGGTAATCAAATTTATAAACATTTACTATTAGCATCTTTAAGATGTTGTGATCCTACTCTAAAACATAAATGTGTCTTTCCATTTGTTTAAGTTTCTGTTGTTATTCTGTAAAATTGTCTTTATATACATCTAGCATTAATTTAAAAAAATTGAATGTCTTGATTTTTCAGGTAATAATTATAACTCTTGCAAATATTAATAGTTTTACTTACACCTCTATAATTATTATATCCCTAATTTATTTATCTTCTCTAATTGTATAGGCTGGAAAATATGATACAATATTAAGTAACGTTTGTGAGAGTATCTATCCTTGTCCCTGACTTTGTAGGAGATGATTTCCTCTCCACTGGGTTTTGGGCTGAGTTGGAAATAGCATGTTAAAGAAGTTTCTGTGTATTCTTATTTATTGAGTGTTATTATCAACTGTGGTTACTGAATTTTATCAAATGTTTTTAAAGCATCTATGGAGATTGAATGGATGATTTTTCTCCTAATATTTTCCTTTGATTCTTAATCATATGTAACCACCTTACATTTGTAGTATATATTCCAAATGACCATGACGTATTATTTTTTAAATGTTCTGCTGGATTTTGTTTGCTACTATTTTATTTGGAACAGTCGTAAGTGAGATTGGTCTGATATATTTAATTTTTTTGTTTTATATATATAATTATATACAGATATTTACATATTTCAGTGTTGGAAGTTGGAAGTTTTTCTTTTTTTCTCCCCAATTCTCTGGAGTAATCTGTTCTTTAAAAGTTTGGTAGAAAAAAAAAAAAAAAAAGTTTGGTAGAGCTCCCCTTTGCATCCATCTCAGTATGTTGCTTTTTTTGTGGGGATACTTCTTTGACAGCTTTTCCTTTTTCCTCTTTGGAAATCAATTTTAGATTAAAAAAATTCTTTTGTAGTTAATCTTGGTAAATTATGTTATCTTAGAATATTATCCATTTCATCTAATTTTTCAAATTTGTTTATGAATAGTCTGTTTCTGTGGTTATTTTGCCTTCACTATTTATGTTGTATGTTTACTTCCTTTTCCTTGATAGATTAGCTAATGCTTTGCCTAATTTATTAGTTGTTTTTGAAATTAATTTACCTTAAAAATGTCTAACTTATTTCTGCTTTAATCCATTTTAATTTATTCCGTTTTTTTCTTTTTTTGACTTTTTGAGTTGTCTTAGTTCATTTTTTTTTCTTCTTTTTTTTTTTTGATGGAAGTATTCAATGTTATGATTTTTTTTCTTGGGGCACTGCAGCATACCATAGGTTCTGATATGTTGTGTTGTAATTGTCATGATGTGAAATTTCATTGATATATCATGGTTTTCTAGGGATTTGCTTAAGAGTTGTTTGTAATAGAGTTTTAAATTTCCATGTTAGAATGGTATTTTTGGTTTGATGGTTAATGTTATATTTATCTCCATAAAAAAATGCCAAATTGCTTTCCAAAGTAGTTGTACTGTTTTGCATTTCCCACCAGCAAAGTATAAGAACTCTCTTTGCTTCATATCCTCACTAGCATTGATATCATCAGATTTTTGATTTTAGGAATTCTTTTAAGTGTGTAGTGGTATTTTATTGAGGTTTTAACTTGCATTTCCTTAATGACTAATAATGTTGAGAATCTTTTCATTTGCTATACATCCATATACATCCATCTGCTATACATTCTTCGTTGAAGTTTTCATAGGATCAGTGTTTTTTCATCCTTGAATATTTGAATTAATTCACCAGTGAAATTATCTAGGCCTGGAGTTTCCTTTTGGGGAAGGTTTTTAGGAATAATATAAGGTTCTTTAATAGATAACAGGGATTTTCAGATTTTCTGCTTTTGCTTATGTCAATTTTGGCAAGTTGTATTTTCTAAGAAATTTGTCTGTTTCATCCAACTTGTCAAATTTATTGGCATGAAGTTGTTCATAGTATTCTCTTATCATGCTTTTAATGTCTGTAGGATTTGTGACGATAAGTGATGCCCCTTTTCATTCCTGATGTTGGTGATTTGTATTCTTTCCTTTTCTTGCTAGGGGCTTGTTATTTTGTTGTTGTTGTTTTTTCAAAGAACCAGCTTTTTTTTTTTTTTTTTACTGTGGCAAAATATACATAAAATAAAATTTACCACTTTAACCATTTTTAGGTGTACAATTCAGTTGTACTGAGTACATTCACATTGTTTTGTAACCATCACCATTATTTATCTCCTGAATGATGTTTATTTTCCCCCAACAGGGAAGTGCCTATTTATATATTTTTTTGTTAATGGACATTTGGGATGTTTCCACCTTTTAGCTATTGTGAATAATGCTGCTATGAACATGAGCGTACAAATATCAGTTCCAGTCCCTGCTTTCAATTTTTTGGGGAATATACCCAGAAGTGGAATTATTGGATCATATGATAATTCTAATTTTTTGAGGAACTGCCTTATTGTCTTCCACAGTGGTTGTACCATTTTACATTCCCACCAGTAATGCATAAGGGTTTCCAGTTTCTCCATATCCATATCAGCACTTACTTTCTGTTTTTGTTTTTTTAACAGCCATTCTAATGGGTGTGAGTGGTGTTTCACTGTGGTTTTGATTTGCATTTTTCTGATGATTTATGATGTTGAGCATATTTTTATGTGCTGTGTTTGTATGTCTTTTTTGGAGAAATGTCTGTTCATGTCCCTATTCATGTCCTTCACTCATTTTTAAATTGGGTTTTTGTTGTTGTTATTGAGTTTTAGGAGTTTTGTTCTTTTTTTTGGCCGCGCTGCACGGCTTTTGGGATCTTAGTTCCCTGACCAGGGATCGGACCTGCGCCCTTGGCAGCGAAAGCCTGGAGTCCTAACCACTGGACCGCCAGTGAATTCCCTAGGAGTTCTTTTATATTCTGGATATCAATCCCTTATTAGACACATGAATTGATGTCAAGTATATTCAAAGAACCAGCTTTTAACTTAATTAATTTTCTTTACTGTCTATCTATTTTCTATTTTGTTGATATCTGTTCTCTATTATTTTCTTCCTTTTGGTTTACTTTGCTCTTTTTCTAACTTCTTAAAGTAGAAGCTTTTGTCAGTGAATTCAGATTTTTTTTAATATAAAGCACTTAAAGCTATAAGTTTGCCTTGAATCATTGCTTTAGTTGCATTCCAAATATTTTGATATTTTGTATTTTCACTTTCATTCACTTCAAAATATTTTCTGATTTCCTCTGTGATTTTATCTTTGACCTATATGAATTATTTAGAAGTCTTCTGTTTCATTCCCAGATATTTGGGGTTTATCTTGATATCTTCTTATTATTGATTTCTAACTTAAATCCGTTGGGGTATAAGAATATACTCTGATGATTTCAATCCTTTTAAATTTATTGAGCCTTTCTTTATAGTCCAGCATATGAATTATCTTTGTGACTGTATTGTGTGCTATTTTTAATGTATTTTTGAATACGTATTCTATAGTTGTTGGATGCAGTGTTCTATGAATGTCAGGTTAAGTTGGTAGTGTTGTTCAGAACTTCTATGTCTTTAGAGATTTTTGGTTTAATTGGTCTATCAATTACTGGGTAGATTTTTCTTAGGTGAGTTTAGAATGATGTTTTTAGACTAAGGCTGATTATTCCTTTTTACTGACACAAAATCTGTTATCTACCCAATACCCCTGTCAAGAACTGGGATGAAATGTCTGAGATTTTACTCTATTTGGAAGCTAACAAGCTAGCAAGTATAGGTCTCAGATTTTATTAAAATAGATTTAGACCTAAGATTTTATTAAATAAGGAGTTTATTGCTCCCTGCATAGCAGGAAGCATATACTTTCTGTTCACAGACTTCCCTTGTACTCCATGGGGATGATGCCAAGGAGCCTCGGTGTATGCTCTGCATGCAGTAGATTTGGTTCATAGCTAAAGAACCCCAAGGTTAGGGAACCCCAGTTTTTTAAAATGGGTTGCAAACAAACCTGTCCAGCCTTTTGTCCCAGAGTGAGCCTTTATTAACCTGGACAGCAAACAGATCTGCCTTCTGGCTTGGAGGGAGACATGATCTCCGTCTTCCATGCTATATGAATATCCTTGTGTTGGAGGAACTGATCTTGAGGATATGACCACTGGTTGACCTGGACACTTGGAGGCTCCTCACCCCTCCTTTGTCTTTGGACTGTACACTCTGCCCACCGTTCCCACAGTGGGAGCTGTTTTCAAGGACATAGCCTTGAGAGAGTAAGCTGTTGAGATGATCTGGACTGTGTATGTGACTGAACCCAGTTAAGAACTCTGTATAAACTTTTAGGATTCTGGGCGACAGGTACAGATATCTGCTTGTCTTGCAGCCTGCCAAGACAAGCCTCGTTTGTAAGTTCTCTTGTTGTTAAACCTGCCATCTTCCCATCTAGAGTGGTCTGCCTCTTTGGTCTCTCCTTGCCCTCTGTGTACAGGGGCCAGTTTCAGATTTCACTGGGAAGCTCTTGAGGTTACAAACCAACACCTTGAAAATTTATTCTGGAACAAAAGCTATCAGTGCCTCTGCTCACACAGCGAGACCCATGGTGAAATGTCCCCCAATTGTCCTGTGAATCATGATGTTTTCTGGTCTGAGTGTTGGAAACAAGTACTATTCTTGGCCCTGTGAGAGCTCAAGACACTGTTTCTTTTAGTCCTCTTGGGTGGTTCTTTTCTTGGCCTTGGATAGTTCCCTCACACACTTGGAGTGATCAGTATTTAGGGGAATTTCTCCAGTGTGACTACCTGCAGATATACAGAGTTCTCTCTGTACAGCTCTTTCCTCTCTGATACTCTCCTGGGTACTCTGTCTTGGCATCCCCATATTCTCAGCTCTGTCTCCATAACTCTGGATTTCTTCTAGACTCTGCCCAGATTCTTCTTGTGCCTTGGAAAATCTCCAGGCAGTTAGCTGAGGCAGTCATAGGGCTTACCTATGATATCTTTCACTCTCCTTTGTTGCCTGATGTCCAGTGTCTTGAAAGCTTTTGTCCCTATTACTCCATCTTGGTTGGAAGTGGAAGTCTCTGGCTGCTTTGAGCGTTTTCAGCAATTTAATTGTGATGTTCCTTAATGTAGTTTTCTCTTCCTTCTCTTCCTCCTCCTCCTCCATTTGTTGATCTTCTTGGATCTGTGAATACATAGTCTTCAGCAAATTTAGAAATTTTTGGCTGTTGTCTTCTCAAATATATTTTCTGTCCCCTTCATTTTGGGTGCTTTTATTGAGCTGTTTTCAAGTGCATTAACCTTTTCTTCTTCAGTGTCTAATCTGCTGTAATTCCAGTGTAGTGTATTTTTCACTTGTGCATTGTAGTTTTTAATTTCTAGACACTCAATTTGGTCTTTTCTTATAGGTTCCCTATCTCTTCTTAACAGGTTCATTTTTTTCTTTACATTTTTGAACATATGAATATGGTTATAATGAGTGCCTTAATATCCCTTTCTACTTTTTTTTCCTAATCTTTAAAAATGGGCTGCACGGGCTTCCCTGGTGGTGCAGTGGTTGAGAGTCCGCCTGCCGATGCAGGGGACACGGGTTCGTGCCCCAGTCCGGGAAGATCCCACATGCCGCAGAGCGGCTGGGCCCGTGAGCCGTGGCCGCTGAGCCTGCGCGTCCGGAGCCTATGCTCCGCAACGGGAGAGGCCAGAGCAGTGAGAGGCCCGTGATTGCAAAAAAAAAGGGCTGCACAAGCCCTGTGTGGACTCTGGGGATTTCTCCCTCTGATCATTTTATCTGGTTCTTTCCCTCTCCTTGGGTATTTCATCACATACATGTGCTGATCACTACTCAGCTGGAGACTTGACCCTCTGCAGCTCTCTCCTCTCTGGTATCCTTCCCTGCAAACTCTAGCTGCCTTGGCCTTTCCAGACTCCCAGCTGTATTTCCTTAACTCAGAGAGACTGTTGGGCTCTGAATGGGTCTCTTTCCTGTACTGCTACCTAGAAACTTTCTCAAGGTGGTAAGCTGGAGCAACTCGTTTCTCCTTTTTTAGGGACTACTGTTCTACACTGCTTGACATCCATCCAAGGTCTGAAAACCGTTTTTTAAAAATAATTTTTTAAAAGTAATTTCAGATTAAAGGTACTCCATCTTGTGCAGAAGCAGAACTTGGCTTTTAATTTTATAATTATTTTGGTTGTATTATTGAAAACCTTTGTTTATATATTCATTTTATAGAGTTAATTTTTTTCTTTTTTTACAATTCAAGCTATATTTTATAAAATCAAAGGTATATTTATTTTAAAATTAAATTACTAGGGGGACTTCCCTGGTGGTCCAGTGGCTAAGACTCCATGCTCCCAATGCAAGGGGCCTGGGTTCAATCCCTGGTCAGGGAACTAGATCCCACATGCTGCAACTAAAGATCTCACATGCTGCGATGAAGATCCTGCATGCTGCAACTAAGACCTGGCGCAGCCAAATAAATAAATAAATAAATATGTAAAAAATTAAGTTACTAGAAAAATTTAAGATTAAATGTGATTTAAACTTAATTCTTTTTTTTTTTTGGCCACACTGCACAGCTTGCGGGATCTTAGTTCCCTGACCAGGGATTGAACTCATGCCCTTGGCAGTGAAAGCATGGAGACCTAACCACTGGACTGCCAGGGAATTCCCTTAATTCTTTTTATAAATTAGAAATTCCACTTTCTTTTAGAAACATTATCAAATTTATTGTATAAAGTTTTAAGGATACAGTTTCTACGTATTCAATATATTGTTTGGTTAGTTAATTTTCAGTGAGTTTATGAGATTTGTTTCATTCCACAGTTAAGAAATAGCATTTCAAAGGTATATTCACACTTTCTAACTCTTTTTGTAGTATGAAGTTATTTTCCTGTAAGCATTAAGAATGTTGATTTTAATCCAAGAGTTGAAATATTCAAAGCATAGTAGGAACTTTATTATTTAGAAAATTGTTTTAATGTCAGTGACTTTTTATTTTTATTTATTTATTTTTTTTTAGTGACTTTTTAATATACTTAAAAAAAATTCTCTTACAGATCAGGGGGCTGATTTTGGATGGATCTTCACAGTTAATCCAAGAAGGTCTCAAAAGTGGCTTTCTTCATCCACTTTATGAAAAACGGGACAAGTATAGTGAGCCCATTACTTTACCACTTGATACCTGCAATTTGTCAGAATTATGTGAAATGGCAAAGCATTTGCCTTCTCTGAATGAAATGGAACTTCAGACGTTACAACTGATGGAAGATGATATATCTGTTACAGAGCAGGATTTATTTTCACGGATTGTTGAAAACAACTCTAGCTTTACAAAAATGATTACTTTAATGGGACAGAAATACCTGCTGCCACCAAAAAGCAGTTTTCTTTTGTCTGACATTTCTTGTATGTACCCGCTTCTGAGCTGTAAGTAATTATTATGTTTATTATTAGAAAAAGATAATTTTTTTGTGGCCTCAGAAGTCAAGAACAAGTCTGAATGTTGAATGAGCACCAGCATTTTGTGATAGGGTGAACGCTTAATTTTCTCAGTGTATTTTTCTTTTAAATTCAATTTTAAAGTGCTGACTTCTGTCTTAATAATTAAAAAAATTCTTATTACAAACAAAGGGTCAAAAACTTAACTAGTCTCCAAGAGAGTAAACATAGTTACTGTTCTGTACTTAGGAATTCAGGGTACAGTTGGGGTTGACCAAATAACTTTATTTAGCTTTTATTCATAGCAAAGTAGAAACACTTCATATACGAATGTTAATTCCCAAACCATTCCTAGCCTTTTAGGTTACATTTTAAGCTACTGTTCAAGTTTATTATCTAAAGTTTCTCAAAATATTTTCCTGTATAAAGTTAAGAATTTAGATATTTAAGTCCAGAGTCATATACACCTGAATTTGAATTTAGATTCTGAAGCTTAACTATGAGTCTTTAGGCACTTCACAAAACTGAGCCTCAGTTTCCTAGTCTATAAAATGGATATGATAATACCTACTTCCAAGGGTAATTTTGGGGATTAGATGAGATAATCTGCATCATGAGCTTAGCTCAGTGATTTATGTTTCTAACAAATTATAACTATTATAATATTCTAAGGGATGATGTAGATAAGAGGTATATTGACCAAATTGAATTTAATCTGCTGTTTAATGTTATTTGGACATTTTTAAGCAAAATTTTACATTATTAACATAACATAGCTTATTAATGAAAAGCTTCTTTTAATTACCTTCAAACTGTCTTATAAATGATTGGTTATTTATGGCACAGCATCATAAATTCTTCAGAGTAAATGACAAGATAACAAATTAATGAGAAAATCATGCTATATTTGAACATTTTTTTCCCTATTCTTTTTGATCTTTGTTACTCTGTTTAAAAGCCATCACTTCCTTATTTTAATTTGCATTCTTTTGATCACTTATGAGATTGTACATTTACAAAAATATACCTCTGTTTATAAAAGGAAAAGGGACAGCTCTTCCTCACAGTAAAATTCCAATTAATAAATGTAGGTAGAATGATGTAACTAGAAAATTTCCATTTGGCACACATCATAGTATTTGGGTGTCAAAATAGTGGATGAAAAGATGAGATGCAGGATATTTGCACAGTCTTAAAATATCTCCCTGCAAAATACTTATTAATTACAAAAGTAAAACTGGAGAAACCTGGCTGACAGCATTTTAACCAAATGATCAAAGGTAGTATCACTAATAATGAGACATTTTGACACTGTGTTTCCTGATAATGGCATGGTGATACTCTTGCCAAAAATAAAGAACCTAAATTTAATCACGAGGAAATACCAAACCCAAACTTGAGGGACATTTTATAAAATGACTAGCCAGTAGTCTTCAAAAGTATCAAGGTCATAAAAGACAAAGAAAGACTGAGGAACTTTTCCAGATTGGAGGAAATTTAGGAGACATGGCAACTGAATGCAATGTGTGATCCTGGTCCAGAGAAAAGAACACTAGTAGACTATTGGGGACATTTTGTTGTGATCAATATATCAGTCAAAAGACAAGTTTTATTTCATGTAAAAAGTTGAAAAACAGAAGCAAAAAACCCATACCTACCCTATCTAGGCTTGAAAGGACCAAGTTAATATGGCTACCAAGACTTATAGGACATTTATAAATCATTGATGTCTAGCTAAGGGAGCTGTAGTTATTTTTAGGAAGTTTCTGCAATAGGTGAAATTATGTTAAAATCCCAGAGGTACTAAATTATAAGGGGAATCTCTTAATTATTTTAGATAAATTATTTGAATAAATGCCACAAATCCTTTTCTTGCATTCCAGTATATTTGTGTCTGTAGTGAATGCACTTCATTGTTGAAGAACATGTTTAGTTTTTTTTTTTTTTGCCATGTGGCATGTGGGATCTTAGTTCCCCAACTAGGGATGGAACCCATGCCCCCTGCAGTGGAAGTGCAGAGTCCCAACCACTGTACCGCCAGGAAGTCTCAGAACATGTTTAGTTTTTAAAGTGATATGTATAGAAGATATTTTCTGAAATTGTCTCTTTGTTTTCAGGTAAGAAAACATATGATGTAATTGTGATAGATCCACCATGGCAGAACAAATCAGTTAAAAGAAGTAACAGGTAAGTATAAATAATTTATCTATTAGATATGCTTTCTCAAAGCTATTGTCCTTTGTACATTCTAGTTACATATGCTAAAAGCATTACTTTATGATAATAGATTGTCTGAAACTACTAAAACACTTTCGTTTTAAGATTTTAATTCCCTTAAGTAGATAATTCTCTTGAACTAGAACTATATGTAGATGTAGGTTAAGAATGTTAAAAGTAATATATTTATTAATGATTAAGTTACTGACTGTCCAGTTCAGGGATGTTTCTATAACACCAAAAGGCAACATTTTTGCCTCCTTTGATATCAAATTCTAAAGTTTAGAAATATGTGCCAAAATACAGTATTCCTTAACACTGCTATGAATGAATTGGTCTACTTCATTCTGAAATTTGTTTTTATTTATGCCACCATTTCGTTTATGTAACCTTTTAGAGTGATAAGTTCAATTAGTTAGTAAGATGACATTCCCTTTTAATAGCTTTTTAAAAAAGTTTTTCCCTCTAGTTCTAGTGAATGTCTTCAGTTGTATTTCCTCTCACTCTTCGATTTTCTAGACTGAACAGTTCCTATTACCTTGACTTAAAGTTCGTATGAAATTTCTTCTCCACAATTATCTTGTTATGCTTTTTGTTTATGAGCTGTACCAATAATTGGACTTTTTTCTCTTAAAGTTTCCAGGATCATACAAAGAATTCCTGTAGCTATTCTCTATATGTGTGTATTTGTGCATGTGTGTAGATATCTACGTATATATAATTTTTTTCTGAACTGTATGAGAATAAATTATTTAGGAAGAAGTAAGTTACTCTGGAATATTTTATTCTGTATTTCTTGAAAACAAATATATTAATATTTTCTTATATAATCATAATGTAATTATCAAAATAGGTAATTAATTTTCCTTTTTAATTTTCTAATTTTCCTTTATTAGAAAATTAAAAAGGAAATCATATAGGGAGATACTGTGATATATGTAAATATCTTGTTACCAGTTTTAGCATCTGTGGTAGGTAGAATACTGTTGTCCCCCCTCCCCCCACACCTGCCTCCATGCCCTTGTCCTAATCCCTGGAATTTGTGAATATGTTAGGTTACATGGAAAAGGGGAATTAAAATTCCAAATGGAATTAAGGCTGCTAAGAAAAGGAGATTACTATGCATTATCTGGATAGGCCAGTCCTTAGTTTAGCTGTAGACAGGAGACCTAACTGAGGGTATTTCTCCCTTTTTTCTTCTCTGTTATTTTTTCTTCTCTTCCTTTCTTTCTCCCTTCTCCACCCTCCCCCTGCCCAAGTCTTCTCTCCTCTTCTTTCCTTTAAAAGTATATAGTATATAGAAAAACTAACCAAAAAAAAAGAAAAAAAAGAAAAGAAAGGAAAAGTGTATAGTATAAGCATATTTATAGGCTAATGGTAAGGAACTACTAGAGAGGTTGAAAATACAGGAGGGGAGTAATTAGCATCACTAACAGACTAGAAGATGAGAATAAGAGAACACAGCTGGAGGGATAAGCTTTAAATATATGAAGCCATGCTATCCTTTAAGAGGAAATGTATAGCAATGGGTAAGTGAAAGCGTATAAACAGGCGGGAGAGGGTTAGGTAGTTGAAGCAGTCCGATGGCTTTTTTTTTTTTAATTGATAATATGCGTTAACTTCATCTACAAAGAGTGAGTTTGGGCGAGACTTGAAAAGAGATGAAGGTTTGTAGTAGTTGACCAAGGATAAGTAAAAGAATTGATGAGTAGTTTTGAGAACCTAAGAATGGACTTAATTGAGCCAATTCTTCAGTTTAGCATTTTTCTCCACCTGATTTTTTCCATATGAAGAAGTTGAATTCAATTGTGTTGAAATTGAATTGAATTTAAGATTGGAGGTTTGCAGGAGTTATGGGGTGAAAGAGTAAAGGGGAGATTGGAGTTAGGGGTATAGTGAGAAGGCAGAGGAGTGATTGGTGGTTGGTAGTATGTGAGGAAGAGGAGAAAGTGTGGGCAGGAAGAAACTGATAGACTCAGTAAAGTGGAGGAATGGGGCACTGAGTGAATGCTTTGATAAAGTCAAAGAATTGGTGACGGAGAAGAGGTAATGGCCAATCATCAGAAAATCTAGAAACAATAAATGCTGGAGAGGGAGTGGAGAAAAGGGAACCCTCCTGCACTGTTGGTGGGAATGTAAATTGATACAGCCACTATGGAGAACAGTATGGAGTTTCCTTAAAAAACTAAAAATAGAGCTGCCATATGACCCAGCAATCTCACTGCTGGGCATATACCCTGAGAAAACCTTAATTCAAAAAGATACATGTACCACAGTGTTCATTGCAGCACTATTTACAGTTTCCAGGACATGGAAGCAACCTAAGTGTCCATCGACAGATGAATGGATAAAGAAGATGTGGTACATATATACAATGGAATATTACTCAGCCATAAAAAGGAACAAAATTGAGTTATTTGTAATGAGGTGGATGGACCTAGAGTCTGTCATACAGAGTGAAGTAAGTCGGAAAGAGAAAAACAAATACTGTATGCTAATGCATGTATATGGAATCTAGAAAAACGGTACTGATGAACCTAGTGGCAGGGCAGGAATAAAGACACAGCATAGAGAATGGACTTGAGGACACGGTGGGGGGAAGGGGAAGCTGGGACGAAGTGAGAGAGTAGCATTGACATACACATACACTACCAAATGTAAAATAGATAGCTAGTGGGAAGCAGCCACATAGCACAGGGAGATCAGCTTGATGCTTTGTGACGACCTAGAGGGGTGGGATACAGAGGATGGGAGGGAGGCTCAAGAGGGAGGGGATATGGTGATATATGTATACTTATAGCTGATTCACTTTGTTGTACAGCAGAAACTAACACAACATTGTAAAGTAATTATACTCCAATAAAGATGTTAAAAAAAAAAAAGTAATGGCCAGAAATCAGTGTATATGGTTTCAGAAATGGAGCAAGTTTGAGTGATGACAACGTCCAGGTTTTGGCCACTCGAAGGGATTATTGAAGTGGGGTGAATACAATTGTATTTATTTAGGGGAAGAATAGGTGAGTGTGTACATTATTTAGCCTGTGCTTTGAAATTGCCCAGGATACTGGCAAGATTTATGTTGGTGAGGTAGAAGGATCTCAGAACTTAAATCCTCATTGAATATGGAGAGTGAGGCTGTAATAGGTTCGATAAGGAGCATTGGAGGCTAGATAGCGTACTTCTCAAAGAGAAGGGGATTTTACACAAAGGTAGATGGCTGATAGCCTGGAACTGGCAGTAGGGGAGCTAGGAGAATACTGACCTCTCCTCTTTCTGTTGTGTGTGTTGGGTGCTGGAGAAAGGGCCACATTGGTTTGATGGGGTATTGTAGAGCAAGTAGTGTTTTAGCAAGAGAAACTAGACTTCATACTACTAATGACCAGGAGGTGCAAGACTGTAGAATTTTTTTTGTAATGAAAGCATGAGAGTTTCAGAGAGCCCAGTAGAACTGATTGGGAAGGATGAAAGAAACAAGATGATAGACTGAAGATGTTCGTGGGATATTGAGATAGTAGTTTCAAGACTGTTAATGGGGTCCCTTTGTGATGTACAGATTATCAAACCATAATATTTGCTTAATTTTGAATGTTAGAAGAGCATATAGAAAATATTAGTAAAATTACTGAAATGTAATACATTTAGAAATGATAAATATGGCTTCATCATTTTAAATTAGTAAAAACTAAAAATATTATTTCTGACTTGCGTATAATAATGTGTCCACTGGGTGTCAGTGTGGCTTCATGTTTAGTTGCACAAATAAATATAGGAGCTTTGTGTTTGTGGAGTCAATGTTATACAGGTTTTCTCCCTGCTTATTTTTCTTTTTTGCAGCAAATTTTGCTCATATTTTTTTCTGTTTATTTTTAGATATAGTTATTTATCACCACTGCAAATAAAGCAGATACCTATCCCTAAGCTGGCTGCTCCAAACTGTCTTGTTGTTACTTGGGTGACGAATAGACAGAAGCACCTACGTTTTGTTAAGGAAGAACTTTACCCTTCTTGGTCTGTGGAGATAGTTGCTGAATGGCACTGGGTAAAAGTAAGTTTAGAAGTTAATGTATTTGTTAACTTTATTTGTTAATAAGGTGTGACATACAAGTCACATAAAGGTAGCATCTACTTTTCAATGCTTAACATGTCACCGCTCTACTCCTTCAACAGGGTCTAATTAAAATGTTTACTTTGCTACTAAATACCTTTGTCTTCTTATTCTCAAGACTTTTTACCTATTTGTTCTGTATATTTTTGTAGTAGAATCCCAAACTGCTGGCCTTCAGAAATCACTCGGAGATATCAGGATGACATTTTAAAAAGCTCTGATGTCTGTAGTTTAAGAAACAACAAACAAAAACTTTGGGGAATTTGTCCATCACTAAACATAGAAATTGTCTTACTGTTCATCTTCTTCCTCTTTACTCATCCAAAATTTCAGCTGCCCTTTGTGACTTCTGTCTTTCTTTCTTCTCCTTCCTCCCTTCCTCCCTTCCTTCCTCTCTCCCTCCCTCCCTCCCTCTCTTCCTTCCTTCCTTCCTTCCTTCTTTCTTTTTTTCTTATGTTTCTGGGGATGAGAGGGAGATAGCAAAGAAATCTACTGTGGAAGAGTTGGGAAAATGCTAGAAGCAAGGACCTTTTATACTTTAAACCTTAACTTAGTTCCTCAGTGCCTGTTTTTGAAAGAAATGATTCCAACTCTTGGATTGGTTGAATGATCTTTAATATCTTTGCTTGGTATAAAAATACCAAAAAATACAAAAATATAAGGCATCAATTCAGAGTTCATTGGACATCCTTTTAAAGATACATTGTCTACCAGGTGAATTCCAGAAAACCCCTCCTAAATTTTAAAAAGGTAAACCAGCTTATTATGGGTTGAATGTTTTAACATTTATATAATATTTATATAACTGTATATTCATTTTAGACACAGGTTCTATTTTTATGTGCTCTGTGTACTTTGTAGTGTACTGGAATATCTTCTAAAAGCTGTGTACATTATTTATTTGCACCTATTTTGTGAGACTTGGCAAACAAACACTTAAGTTGTGTCTTTGCTTTTACAGTTGTGCTTTGGGCTTAGCTTTGGTTGATTTGCTATAGGACCATAACAGGAATATAAAACTCCATTCCACTCTGTCTATTATGGCAGTTCTTTTATAATCAGAGACTGAGGCCAAAGTCACGAAAAGGTTACCTTCTGAAATCAAAACCAGTAAAATGCTAATACATGAAAACTAAGACTGTTCATTTCTGGTAGTAATCAGTTCTATGAGATGGTATGATATGACTATAGCTTAAAACAAAAATATGTTTTATGAAATACTTATTAGGTAATTGAACATATTGTTATATCAGAAGGAGTAATCTGCATTGAGTATAAAGGATATCCAAAGAATAAGAATTTGCCAGTGTTTATACAGTGCTGTGTGGAATAGATGCTGTTTCTCGTGGGCCCTAGAGGTGATAAAAGAACTTGGTTTTTTAGATACCTCGATATAGGGTAAAGGGTTCCACAGAGAATATATGAATATTCTGATAGTGAAAATATTTTCTTCCATGCTTAATTAATGATTTGATATTGTTATTATAAATTGTGTTTTGAGTTTGATTAGCTAAAGTGAGTCTTTGGGAGTCTGATCACTCCAGGATGAAATGATAAGATTGAATTTCTGGATTTATAATGCCAAGAAATTGGACCACGTATTGTCTATCTCATCAATCCCTGAGCTTCCTTCATTATTAATTTTAGCTCTGACAGTATTTAATGCCATTGTTTCCTATAAGTAAAGGAAAATACTTTATTGTAATTGACTTAGTCACATTGCCAGTAATAGGTAAATGTTATTTGAACAAATAAATGAATTAATGATGGCATGGTTTCCAATAATAAATTTTAATGAAAAATAGAGGTTTTTGTGTGCAAGATGATAAAATGATACTTAAAATTTTTTAGTCCTTCATAGCTGCCTTGTCCATTATGGTAGTCACTAGCAGTATGTAGCTCTTCAGCACTTGAAATGTGGCTAGTCCAAATTGAGACGTGGTGCTAAATGTAAAATATAAGTGTTTTAGATTTAAAAGACTTAGTATGAAAGAAAGAATATAACATACCTCAATAATTTTTTGAATTGATTACATATTGAAATGGTAATATTTTAGATATGTTAGGTTAAATTAAAAATAATTAAAAATTATTTAAAACTTAAAATACAATTAAAATTAATTTTGCCTCATTCTTTTTGCTTTTTTAAATGTTGGTACTAGAAAATCTAAATTACATGTGTGGCTTAAACTTGTGGCCCACATTATATTTTTATTGGACTGCGGTAGCCTTGAGGTTTAATACTTCTTTTTCTTTGGTGAAAATTGTATAGTGGTAGGAAAAAAAACCCAATCCTTTTCGTGGATATTTACAGATGTATGGGTTGTTTTTGTTTTTGACTCCTTTTTATCAGATCACCAGTTCAGGAGAGTTTGTGTTCCCATTAGATTCTCCACACAAAAAGCCTTACGAAGGTCTTATACTGGGAAGAGTTCGAGAAAAAGCTGCTTTACCATTAAGGTAGGAAAGGTGATTTTTCAAAATTGTATAAGTGTATTGATTTTAAGGCTTTTAAAAGTTATTAATACAGTGATCATTAGTTTTTGTTAATTTTTTCATTTTTGAAAATCTGAAAATGGCCGAGATAAGTGTGAATGGTACGGCACATGAAATTTTATATTATCTTTTGCTTTATCTAATGTGTAAGAGTCATTATTGTAGCAAAGGAAACTATCTGAAATTGTTGGTTTCAGATAGTTTGTTGAAATTGTTGGTTTCAATCAAAGGTTGTTGATTTCCATTATTTCTATTCTTAAATTTATTATAAGTTCAGATACTATTGGAAAGTTGAAAAAAAATCAAGGCAACTGTGGCTTATATGTAAAAAATTGTCCTCTAAAATATAATTTACATTTTTGTTCTGTTTTAATAGGAATGCAGATGTAAAAGAGCTCCCCATTCCAGATCACAAGTTAATTGTCAGTGTGCCCTGTACGCTTCACTCACATAAGCCACCTCTTGCTGGTATGTTTTTATAAAATAGTTATGACTTATGTGAAATTGACAAAAGGGTTGAATGTATTGATAGTATTTGAATAGTCTAGAAATTTGGAAATTAAATCAGATATATGTTATTTTAATTAATATTCTAAAATCATATAGCAGAATTTATGGAATAGAGAATAGATTTTTTTTTGCTACAGAAAGCTTTATTGTTTCAAGTTGGTCCGTAGCTTGGGAGAGGGCTCCAGGCGGTTACATAGCTGCCTAGTGGCAGCAGGGAGAGGCTCAGGCAGAGGCCCTGAGACCAGGAGGTGGAATCGGGCCCTCAAGGGCGGCTGGGCTCGAAGGCTACTGGTCCTAAGTACTCGCCTAGCCCTGGCTGGGGGCCGGCCAGCCTGCGGAGGTTGGTCAGGTGGTCATCCATCTTCTTGAGTCTCACCTCCTTATCCAGGAGGTGGCTCCCCAGGAAGGCACAGAGATGGTCTGTGTGGGAAGAACCCAGGGCATGCAAACCCAAAAGGGCCTGGTTCAGGTTCTTCTCCGAGCCCATGGCAGCTTCTGTGGCGTCCAGGGCTTTGCCCCGCTCATCTTGGGGCGGCTTTGGCATGTCCCGGAAGAGGGCGCTGCTGCCACACTGGTTTTGCATCTTGGAGAGGTGCTGGGCCAACCCGCTGAAGGAGGCAGGGCCCTGGCCCTCCAGAGCCGCGTTGTGGCGCTCGGAGCAGAAACCCAGAGAGAGGTAGGTGTAGCAGGCCCGCGGATGCAGGTCCACCAGGCGGGTGACCGCACCCTCCACTTGGGTGGAATAATTCTCACGAATCTGGGAGGTCATCGTGGGTGGCACTAAGGAGCTGACTGCAAAAGTGGTGTTGCTTGGTCCCGGAGGTCGCAACTGGAAAAGAGTCTGGAGGGTGGTTGGTGGTTGGAAAAAGGGTCTGTTATGTTAAAACACTGTTGAAGTGGAGACGGAGCCGCGTGACCACCCAGTGCACCCATGCAGATTAGTCCTACATTACCTCAGCCTTTCCTCTTCGCCATTTTTTAGGTTGCCCTTACTAACTGGGTTGTTATCCCATCACTGCCCTCAGCAGAATGAAGACTGATGGTGCATGTGAGGACTAGTTCTGCTAGGTGCTTTATTGTACTCTCAGGGTTCTATCCCTTGCTGGCTCTAAAGCCAAGAGCACAGAAAGCAGTCAGAGAGATGGTCAACTATCAAGAATTCCCTTGATAGTTGGTAGATACTCTCAGTTTTATGTTGAGTTGGTGTTGCTTTTCTGAACCATTGGAAAGGTAATTGCTGCAGCCTGGAATTCTTACTAGTCTTAATGCTTTAGTATAATGTCCATCATTTAATGAAACTAAGCAGCAAGGAATAGTGGAAAGCTTTAGCTTTTCAGATTGACTAACATGAGTTTGAATCCTGGTTCTGCTACTTGAGCAAGTTACTCTAATAATTTTCCACCTGAAAGTCGACATTTGAAGGGGGAATAATGATATTTAATCTTTCAGAGTTGTGAGGATTGTTTATATTTGAAATTCTGTAGCATATAGTAGAAGATCAGTAAATGCTAAATTTTTCAAGTGAAAGAATAAAAAAATAGGAATGTAATAGGAATAGGAATATGAGAGATACTGAATTTGACATTCAAAGTTTGTTAAAAGTTTTTCTTTAGAAATATATATTTTATTAATTTGGTGGTCCTGGCTTAAATAAACCAAAACTTTCAAGCTGCCACTCAGGAAGACTATAGGCTATCAGCTTATCACCTGATTTTGCAGAATATGGGATAATTCATGAGCTAGGATACATAGAAAGGTGAATTCAGATTCCCAAGAGAATGCTTATTGGTAGCATTTAAGATTTCTATTATCTTAAATTGCTTATACTGAGAGTCTTTAGTGTTAATTCATTTGAGAAATGTTCAGATGTCTACCTGTTGATCCATTCTTTGACTTAGAGGGATTCTTAGTGAATAATTGCCTGTAAACTTTGGACTGTTATAGATTCTTTAATGCAGTAAACATTTGACTTAAATGACAAGCGTAGCTGTACTGTTCTTTGAGAAAAAAATTATGTTTGCCACCAGTTATACTCATTGGAGGAAATCTAATTTGTATTCTTCTCATTTGAATTTTCTTTATCATTTGGTGAGTACCAAAGCTTAATTTAGGGTTTGTCTTAGGGCTTATTTTTTTACTTTTAAAAATCCAAGCGCCAGACCCAAAAAACCTTTCATTCCCAAATGATAGTTAAACTATTTCTTAATTCATTTTACATAGATTATGTTTAAAGAGTAGTCTTAAGATATAAGGTTTTAGGGCTTCCCTGGTGGCGCAGTGGTTGAGAGTCCGCCTGCCGGTGCAGGAGATGCGGGTTCGTGCCCCGGTCCGGGAGGATCCCACATGCCGCGGAGCGGCTGGGCCTGTGAGCCATGGCCCCTGAGCCTGCGTGTCTGGAGCCTGTGCTCTGCAACGGGAGAGACCACAACAGAGAGGCCCGCGTACCGCAAAACAAACAAAAAAGAAACAAAATATAAGGTTTTATAAAATAGTGAGTAAAATTAGTCTTTTATTAATACCAGTAAAAATTAGTACATATTACGGCCTGTAGTTATGAAGTGCAGTTCTGCTGTGTTCCCAGTAGAGCGCAGCACAAACACATTTTTAGCATTGAGAATATTTAAAAAGAAAAGTTAGATTTTGGGGGGGGGAAATCTTGTGTGACTCAATATATGTTATTCTTATGTTTTGGTTAAGTACTGGTAGACAAGAAGTATTTATAATCCTTTATTTTTGAGTTCATGTTACTGGATAGCAAGTGCCTGTATTTTGGATACAGAGCCACACAAAGCCATCAGAAAGCAACTTGCAGATTTCTGCAGTATATTTTACTCTGAAGTGAGAGAGTGGCATGGACATATATACACTACCAAATGTAAGATAGATAGCTAGTGGGAAGCAGCTGCATAGCACAGAGAGATCAGCTCAGTGCTTTGTGTCCACCTAGAGGGGTGGGATAGGGAGGATGGGAGGGAGATGCAAGAGGGAGGGGATATTGGGATATATGTATATATGTAGCTAATTCACTTTGTGATACAGCAGAAACTAACACAACATTGTAAAGCAATTATACTCCAATAAAGATGTTAAAAATAAATAAAAATAAATAAAATAGTATTTTACTCTGAATCATAACCCTAGGATTTGGGATAATACATGTCCTCTATATAATGCTTAGAACTTTTACATGTAAATGTTCTTAAACTGCTTTATGCCAATTCACAAAACGAAATGTTCTCTCTTTTGCTTCTAGAAACACCAATTTTTTTTCTTTTAACAAGTTTTAATTTGTTATTTCTACTGCAAAATGTAAAAAACACCAAATTGGAAGCATATTCTATTTCAAAATGAGACATTTACTCTTTTTAAGTTTTGAAATTTCTTCCTATAGACTGAAACATAAGCCAACAATAGCTATGGCTTATAACCTAACATAAATGTATAATATTTTAAGTTTAAAGATTTAAGGTAGGAAAATCATGAAATAAAAGTATTTGAATGAAAATTTTGTTTTTCATATTGTACCTTAGAGGAATTTCTACTCCTTTTTACTACTTTACTCGCAACAATTTGTATCTGAACAGTTAAATATAGTTTGATGAGATTTTATGCACTGACATTTGAGCCGCTTTTCCCTCAGCCATGCCCTTTGCTCCCAAGCAGAAGGGGAATGACGGGCTATGTATGAATTACTTCCTCTCCATTGGTTACAAGTATGTTTTACTAATGCCAGATGTTATGTAATTATTTATATATATTGGCATACTCACATTTAAATTTATACATTTGAATTTGCTTTTTTAAAATTGAGGTAATTGACATATAACATTGTATTAGTTTCAGGTGTACAACATAGTGATTCAAGATATATATACATATTCACTGATCACGATAAGCCTATACATGGTTACAAAATTTTTTTCCTGTGATGAGAACTTTTAAGATCTTGCATTTTCTTTTAAATTGATATTTAAAATTAGTAAGAATAAAATATTCCCATTAATTTGCCTCTATTTCTTTTGCTTTGTTTTGAAATTAAACATATGTGGTTAACAGTACAAAAACATTACTCCTTGATTTTCTGTGTTTCTCAGCTAGGAAGGAAAAAAGCCATGCAGAAATGTGTTCCATTGATAAAGTAGAAGGTGATAAATGGGTTTAGGTTTCATGTATTTTTCCACTCCAAGTACCTGGCCATCTTTTTCTATTAGCTAGTGAACTCTTAGAAGACATGGATATCTATTTCTTTTGTTAAGTCCCATAGCACTTATAATGGGTGCTCAGAAATAGTAAACATTAAAAATAAATTTATTTATTTATTTATCTAGGCTGTGCCAGGTCTTAGTTGTGGCATGCAGGCTTCTTAGTTGCGGCATGCATGCAGGATCTCGTTCCCCGACCAGGGATCAAACCTGGTCTCCCTGCATTGGGAGCACAGAGTCTTACCCACTGGACCACCAGGGAAGTCCCTCAGAAATAGTAAACATTATTGACTGGCTGATTCCAGTTTAGACTCCAGTTTAAAATTCCAAAATAGAGTTGCTAACATCTTTGTACCAAAGAACTGAACAAGCAGAAAGAAGAAAACAAAACCTTGCCTTCAGTATAACCTTAGACCACATTAAAAGTGAATTGAGGCCAGTAAGGCATTGAATTCATGGGGCAAAAATGGAAAAGTGATATAAAAGTTTATTGTTCTAAGACTCTGGGGAAATTTTTCTCACTCAAGTTTAATAGCATTTAATTATATACTTATGAAAGGACTAGAAGTCTCATGTAAGCATCACCTAGAAGCTATCAAAGCCCAGATTTGAGTTTGGTGAGTTATAGACAATGAATACTTTAAATTCTTTGATTTTTGATAATCAGGACCAGTGCTTTCAGACAAATGAACAATTATTTTACTGTGAGATCATCTGAAGAACATGAAATATACATTTTTAAATATATTATCTTTCACATCTAACCGATATCAAGTATTTCTAAAGAATCCTTATCATTGCTAAAGGGAATTTGATGGGTTTCTTCCAAGCTCAATCTTATATAGCAATTAAGAACTATATTTTGCCAGTTCCAGTGACTTTTCATCCCTGAATTCTTATTTTCATACTCGATTCCTGTCGTAGAATATACATATATCAAAAAAATATAGCTAACCAGCAACGTGATCAAGGTTAAATTGATTTAAATATTTGTTATTCAAATGAGCATGTGCTTTAAAAAAAGCTTCTACGGTATTCTCTTTTTTTCTGTTGGTGTAGATCACAGCTGTTTAGCCAAGGTATAGATGAGATGCCATTTTCCTAACAAAATATAATTTTCAGTAGTTATGAATACATTGAATAAGGAATACTTAACTGTGGAAATAATATGGTGAAATTTTAGGTAAAGAAAGATCTGTAATTTGGAAGTGAAGGAGTGTTCTCAGTACTACCAAGTTATAGCTGAGGAGGTAGAGTTATTTGTTAGATATATGTTCTGAATATTTCTCTGTGTTTCCAACTCTTACACTAAAGTATGTTTTTGCAGAGACTTATGTTTTATCTTAGTTTTTAAAGTGGGTTGTCTTTGTATTGTTCCTATAGACTTTTTTTCATGCATGGATTACATTTATTAAAAAATAAATTAAGTTAGTACTCAGGAGCTATGTCAGCATTATTGGAAGACTGAAAAGTTACCGATGTGGGTGTTAAAATCCTCATTTCTTATCTACAAATGAAAACTGATAAATCAGGACTATTGAAAGTGCTGATGGTATTGTTCCCAATCTCAAGGGTGTTTATTTCAAATGACTTTCTAACTATAAATAGTAAAGCCTGTGATGAAATCCTTGAAATTAACTTGCCTTTTTTTTTTTTTAAGGAAACATCCCTGCTTTTCTACTCTTTACTGCTAAAGGAAATTGATTCCTTCCTTAATAATAATTTTCGTGTTATTTTCTCTTTTTTTTTCTGGACAGAGGTTCTAAAAGACTATATCAAGCCAGAGGGGGAATGTTTGGAATTGTTTGCTCGAAATTTACAGCCAGGTTGGACTAGTTGGGGCAATGAAGTTCTCAAATTTCAACATGTGGATTATTTTGTTGCCCTGGAGTCTAAAAGTTGACTATGTTCTTAAAATTGTGTTTTTCTTCAGTTTTTCCTCACTCCTTCTCTGTTCATTCTAATAGATTTTTCCTTTTATTACCAACTAGTATGCTTAGAGATGTGAACAGGACTTGGTTTTTCAGGAAAATGATTAAAAGTGACTAGCTGTCATATAATTTTGAGATGAATTTTACTTCAGTTGCACTAGTATTTCACATTATTCTGGGCTCTACAAATAAAGAGGTAAGCAGTTAGAACGATGGCAAGATTTTGTTACTGAAAAAGTTCAGAAAGCATGCACTATGGACTTGAAGTCACAATTCTATATATGGGTGTGTTTTGTTTGGCCCATATGGTGTTGTAAAAAAAGTTGAAGCCATCAGTCTAAAAAATCAGGAAATTTCACATAATAAGTCCATATTTCTGCCTTTCTTTAAACGTCAGAAACTCTGTCTACACTGCAGCCTGTGTTCTTTCCTGGCATCAGTCTGTGGGACCCAGTGGTGGCAGCTTATTTGGGAAGGGCCATGTACTCTCCAGTTTACCACAGTAGCCCTTGTCCCATGCCACTCACTTATATTGTCTTCCTGACCCCTGTACAACCTGAATTTAGAACATCTAGTATACTGCTACATTCTGGAAAATGTATTCAAAGACCTGCTAAGTACTGCATCATTGTATTGAGTTCATGAAACATTTTTTGGAGGGTTTTAAATTTCATTCAGGGTCACTTTTCAATTACTTTTTAGTTTTGCTTGTTTTTCTAGAAGAAAAATAAATTCTTAATAATGTCAGAAAGTAAACACTGCTTGGACTTAATTGATATTTATAGAACATTCCATCCAAAAGCAGCAGGATACACATTCTTCTCAAGTGCACATGGAACATTCTCCAGGATAGATCACATGCTGGGCCACAAAGCAAACCTTGGTAAATTTAAGAAAATTGAAATCATATCAAGCATCCTTTCCAACCACACTGCTATGAGATTAGAAATCAACTACAAGGAAAAAACTGTAGAAAACACAAACATGGGACTTCCCTGGTGGTGCATTGGTTAAGAATCTGCCTGCCAATGCAGAGGACATGGGTTCAAGCCCTGGTCCGGGAAGATCCCACATGCTGTGGAGCAACTAAGCCCATGTGCCACAACTACTAAGCCTGCATTCTAGAGCCCATGAGCCACAACTACTGAGTCCGTGTGCCACAACTACTGAAGCCCGATCACCTAGAGCCAGTGCTTCGCAACAAGAGAAGCCACCACAATGAGAAGCCTGTGCACTGCAACGAAGAGTAGCCCCTACTCACTGCAACTAGAGAAAGCCTGCATGAAGCAATGAAGACCCAACACAGCCAAAAATAAATAAATAAGTAAATATTTGGGAAAAAAACCCCACAAACATGTGGAGGTTGAACAATGTTACTAAACAACCAATGGATCACCTAAGAAAGAGGAAATAAAAAAATACTTAGAGACAAATGAAAACAAAAACATGACAATACAAAACCTTTGGGATACAGCAAAAGCAATTCTAAGAGGGAAGTTTATGCCAATACAATCTTACCTCAGGAAACGAAAAATCTCAACTAAACAACATAACCTTACACCTAAAGCAACTAGAGAGAAAAGAACAAACAAAACCCAAAGTTAGTAGAAGGAAAGAAATCATAAAGATCAGAGCAGAAATAAATAGAGATGAACAAAACAATAGAAAAGATAAGTGAAACTAAAATCTTGTTCTTTGAAAGGATAAACAAAATTGATAAACCTTTAGATTCATCAAGAAAAAAGGGAAAGGGCTCAAATCAATAAAATTAGAAGTGAAAAAGGAGAAGTTACAACTGACACCACAGAAATACAAAGGAATCATAAGAGACTACTACAAGCAACTATATGCCAATGAAATGGACAATCTGGAAGAAATGCCCAAATTCTTAGAAAGGTACAATCTTTCAAGACTAAACCATGAAGAACAGACCAATCACAGACCAATATGAACAGACCAATCACAAGTACTGAAATTGAAACTGTGATTAAAAAACTTCCAACAAACAAAAGTGCAGGACCAGATGAATTCTATCTATCACAGGTGAATTCTGTCAAACACTTAGAAAAGAGTTAACACTTATCCTTCTGAAACTATTCCAAAAAATTACAGAGGCAGGAAAACTCCCAAACTCATTCTGTGAGGCCACCATCACCCTGATACCAAAACAAGACAAAGATACTACAAAAAAAGAGAAAATTACAGGTCAATATCATTGATGAACATAAATACAAAAATCCTCAACAAAATACTGGCAAACCTAATCCAACAATACGTTAAAGGGTTCATACACCATGGTCAAGTGGGATTTATCCTAGGGATGCAAGGATTTTTCAATATCCTCAAATCAATTAGTGTGGTACACCACATCAACAAACTGCAGAATAAAAACCATGTAATCATCTCACAATAGATTCAGAAAAAGCTTTCAACAAAATTCAACACCCATTTATGATAAAAACTCTCCAGAAAATGGGCATAGAGGGAACCTACCTCAACATAATACAGGCCATATATGACAAACCCACAGCTAACATCATCCTTAGTGGTGATAAGCTGGCCGCATTTCCTCTAAGATCAGTGAGATCAGGCTGACAGAATTTCCTCTAAGATCAGTAACAAGACAAGGATGTTCACTGTCACCACTTGTATTCAACATAGTTTTGGAAGTCCTACCCATGGCAATCAGAGAAGGAAAAAACCCCAAAAAACCAAAGAAATCCAAATTGGAAAAGAAGTGAAACTGTCACTGTTTACAGAAAATCCTAAAGATGCTACCAGAAAACTACTAGAGTTCCTCAATGAATTTGGTAAGGTTGCAGGATACAAAATTAATACACAGAAATCTGTTGCATCTCTATACACTAACAATGAAAGATTGGAAAGAGAAATTAAGGAAACAATCCCATTTGCCATTGCATCAAAATAATAAAATACCTAGGAGACGAAAGGCCTGTACTCTGAAAACTATAAGATGCTGATGAAAGAAATGGAATATGATACAAACAGATGGAAAGATATACTGTGTTCTTGGATTGGAAAAATCAGTATTGTCAAAATGGCTATACTACCCAAGGCAGCTACAGATTCATTGCAATCCTTATCAAATTACCAATGGAATTTTTCATGGAACTAGAACAAAAATTTTAGAATTTGTATGGAAACACAAAAGACCCCTAATAGCCAAAGTAATTCTGAGAAAGAAAAATGGGGCTGGAGGAACCAGGCTCCCTGACTTCAAACTATACTACAAAGCTGCAGTAATCAAAACAGTATGGTGCTGGCACAAAAACAGAAATATAGATTAATGGAACAAGATAGAATGCCTAGAAATAAACCCATGCACCTATGGTCAGTTGATCTATGACGAGGATGAAAAGAATATACAATGGAGAGAAGACAGTCTCTTCAATAACTGGTGCTGGGAAAACAGCTACATGTAAAAGAATGAAATTAGAACATTCTCTAACACTATACACAAAAATAAAATGGATTAAAGGCCTAAATGTAAGACCAGATACTATAAAACTCTTAGAGGAAAACATAGGTGGAACACTCTGACATAAATTATAGAAATATCTTTTTGTATCCACCTCCTAGAGTGATGAAAATAAAAACAAAAATACACAAATGGGGCCTAATTAAACTTAAAAGCTTTTTCACAGCAAAGGAAATCATAAACAAAATGAAAAGACAACCCACAGAAAGGGAGAATATCTTTGCAAACGAAGTGACCGACAAGGGATTAATCTCCAGAATATACAAATAGCTCATGCAGCTCAATATCAAAAAAACAAAAACAACCCAATCAAAAAATTGGCAGAAGATATAAACAGACATTTCTCCAAAGAAGACATACAGATGGCCAAAAAAACATGAAAAGATGCCCAACTTTGCTAATTATTAGAGAAACGCAAATAAAAGCTACAATGAGGTATCACCTCACACTGGTCAGAATGGCCATCATCAAAAAGTCTACAAACAATAAATGCTGGAGAGGGTGTGGAGAAAGGGGAACCCTCCTATGCTGTTGGTGGGAATGTAAATTGGTACAACCACTATGGAGGACAGTGTGGAAGTTTCCTTAAAAAACTAAAAAAATTAATAGAACTACCATATGATCTAGCAATCCCACTCCTGGGCATATATCTGGAGAAAACCATAATTCAAAAAGATACATGCACCCCAGTGTTCATTGCAGCACTGTTTACAATAGCCAAGACATGGAAGCAGCCTAAATGTCCATTGACAGAGGAATGGATAAAGAAGATGTGGTAAATATATACAGTGCAATGTTCCTCAGCCATAAAAAAGAATGAGATAATGCCATTTGCAGCAACATGGATGGACCTAGAGATTATACTAAGTGAAGTAAATTGGACAGAGAAAGACAATGATATCACTTATATGTGGACTCTAAAAAGATGATACAAATGAACTTATATTCAAAACAGAAAGACTCATTGTTTTCAAAAACAAATTTATGGTTACCAAAGGAGAAACGTGGGGGGAGGGATAAATTAGGAATTTGGGATTAAGAGATACACACTACTTTATATAAAATAGATAATCAACAAAGACCTACTCTCTAGCACAGGGGACTATACTCAGTGTTCTGTAATAATCTATATGCAAAAAGAATCTGAAAAAGAATGGATATATGTACATATATAACTGAACCACTTTGCTATACACCTGAAACTAATACAACATTGTAAATCAACTATACCCCAATATAAAATAAAAATTAAATTATAAAATAAAATTTAAAAGAAAGTAACTACTGCTCATGATTGTGAAAAATTTTTTAATATTATTTCCAGATTATCTACAAATAAATATTTGTTTACTAAGTAAAATATTTTTACTGAAATGGTTCTTTGAAAAGCATGCTGATTTATTATATATAAGCTTTAAAATTTTTTTTGAGGTATACTTTTCACATAATAAAATTCTCCTATTATCAGTGTCGAATTCAATGAGTTTTGAAAGCATACATATATATCTACCACCATAATCATGATATAGAACATTTCCTTCATCCCCCAAAATTCATATGTCCTTTTGCAGTCAATCCCATCCTCCCACCCTTGGCCCTTTGCAAATGATTTGTTTTGTATCATTAGTTTTGCTTTCTTAGAATTTCATATAAATGGAATCATAGAATATGTAATCTATTGTGTTTGGCCTTTCACTTAGAGTTTTGAGAAAAGAGTTTATAGATTTTCTACAAATATTTACTAAGTAAAATGTTACATTGAAATGATTATCTGTCAAGTTTGCCAATTTATTTACTGATTTTGCCAAATAAAATTGTTATTTTTGAAGTTTGTTCATTCTTTGAGTATGTGAATATCAGAGGCTTAACTTTGAGCCTTGCTTTAGTTGCTGCCTTTGCTCTATCCTCACTGTAGGCTCTATCTACCTTGTCCTGTTCTAGTTATCCAAATTCTATGGCTCAAACTCACTCTTACCAGAAAACTGTAGGCCCCCAAATCTTACCTTTTCAGGCTTGGTACTCTAGAGACGTATATTTAGCGAATTTGTGTTTTCAGCTTCAGTGAGACTTGGATTTTGTACTGATTGTGATTCAGAGGAGGATTATAATCACCTTCAATGGCTTTCCCTTCCTTGAAGATGCCGCTCAATTTACCTCATTTGACATATCATGTACCGTTGGCTTACCACATGCTGGGAAGCACCACAGCATTGTTGGCATGGTTTTCTGGTTACCAGAGTTCTTTTACTTCAATTAT